ACAAAGCCAAGAAATTCTTTCCTTACACCGTATGAATTAACTATGAACTATTTTCTGAATATATTTTTGCAAAAATTATTATTGGGATTATATGTAATGCGAATCTACCTTCACGTTTGCATGGCAAGATGCTCAAAAGTTTATAATTTTTTTCAAATAAAACGAGCAATTTTTCTTAAATTAACTGAAATGTTGGCCGTTTGTAAACGTAAGACTGAAAACATATTACATAAATATACTAATATGTATGCTCAAAAAAGAGTGTTACTGTACATAGTTAATTATTGAATAACATATTAAATTTAATATTTCATTTATCCATTTTTTTGTAGTATTGCAATAATCAAACCTGGAACAAGTGTTCGAACTTTTGTACATGTCGACGCTTAATGCATGGTATCCAACTCCTGTTTTTGTGTTCAACACTTACGGGTGGTGTCAAACACTTGCTTTATTTTTGCCGTCCAACGCACCCCAAAAATAGAATTCATTCTTGTCTACATGATGAATTAGATTCCCTGTTATGACATGATAAATTAGATATAATATGGCTATTTTAATGTTGAATTGGTAACATTGTCATTCAAATAATGTATTGATTACATAGTTATTTCCATCCTGAATTTAAACATGGCCATACCGACACGACGAATTGGCAACATCTTTATTGACATTGGAATAGGCTTAGTCTATAGGGCTGGGCTCTAGGCCTATCTGTGAAATGTGTGACCCGCGCAGCCCTAGGGTAGTCACGCGGGTATATAAGACAGTACCGCGGGACGCGGAGGCCCACTCGGTATCTCGCCTCGACAAGCATGGCACGTAGCACGGTGAGGTTTTGCTCATATAAATGAGCTTTGGGTAGTTCGGTTCTCAACTTTAAAACGGAGTGAATTTCAGTGCACTACAGTTCACAATGAAGTGTCAAGTCATCAATTCAATGTTATTCTACTATCGAAATAATTTGCGATAAATTTTATTAGAATTTAGATTCATGGAAAAATTTTTGAAGAAATAATTTTTTTCACGAAATGAATTTGCAGCAATAAATACAGCAATTGTTAAGGCAGTGGCGAATAATAATGAGCAGAATTTTTGGCAGTAATTTGAAGATATCCATTGAAATGTTATGTGAAATTGTGTGTAGGACTCCCTGACTGTGAAATTGTGTGTAGGATTCCCTGACTGTGAAATTGTGTGTAGGATTCCCTGACTGTGAAATTGTGTGTAGGATTCCCTGACTGTGAAATTGTGTGATCAGCAACCCCCGTGTGTAATACCTTCCGTTATATAGGCTAGTTCAGAGTACTATAACTGCGGTTATCGGTTATTAAAAAAAATTCGACCATACTTTAACAGAAATTTTGCTCGATTATTCCATTGTAAAATAACGTTAAATAGCGTGGCGACCGCGACAAGCACTCACAATATTGACGTTGAATTTTAAACAAAAGACACGGAGGACAGCATGGTCGAGTTGTACGTTATTTCACACTCATTTAGTTAGTATAATTTTATCAATTTTACCCATAAACTCCAAGTATTTGTTAAGTTAATCAAAATTTCTTATATCAGACTCTCCTTCTGCTGGTGATGCTGGCACTGTTGGGAGCATCTGTAACGGCTGCTCCAATCCACGGTTATCACCATCATCATCACGGCCACCATCATAACCCCCACGGCCATCATTATAATTATGGTAGCCATTATGGTTATGGTGGCCATTATGGTGGCTACGGCCACCACCATCACCAGCACCTTGATGACTACGTCGACGGAAGATTTGACTACGAATGAACTTGAGTGAGTGATTTAATTATCGCAAAGAAATAATTGGGGTACACGCTACGAGAAAATATATTTTATAAATACATTTACCCCCAAAATATATATATTGGGGGTAAACGCTACGAGAAAATATATTTTATAAATACATTTACCCCCAAAATATATATATTGGGGGTAAACGCTACGAGAAAATATATATTTACTGCGCATCAGTTGATGAATGACTTCAATGCTGATTTTGAGTAAATTATAATCAAATTTGAGCTTTTGAGCCTCAGATGGTGACACTTGAAGCGATTAAAAACTTCAAGTGTTTCCTCAGATTTTGTGGTAAAAAATAGTATGGAATGTCACCAAACAACGATTTTTTATTACGAAAAAGAAAAAAAAAATTGAATGACATTTTCACTGCCCCAGAATTTTTAATAGAGTCAGTTTTGAGTCAGTCTTTCTTATGCTTTACATGTTTTTCTTCTTTCACGAAATAGTTTATTTGAAGAGCTAAAAAAATTTGACGTAATATGAAGCAATTGCGTGGCAGGCTGATACCATTTCGGCTCGCACTTACGAATTAATTCATGCTATACTCGTAAATTTACACCTTCTAGTAATTAATATATGTTGACAAATTCATTCTGTGATATTACGACATATTTTCCTTTTTTTCTAGTGGGCTGCACTTAACTGCGTGTTTCCCATGCCTAACTCATAATAATGTTGTTCAACTTAACTTCCTCCGTTGCAGAACATTCTGTCGGAAGCAGCCGCGGGCGCACGAGCATCCAATTTGTGAAATAGATACAAACAATTACAATAAAATATTTATTTGAGCTGTTGACAAAATTTGTTTTGATTCTCCCCGTTTTCAATACTAAAAAGTTGAATTATGCTCTGAACCAATATAAAAATATATTTGATGCTGAGTAATCCTTGGATCCTTGCCTTCGCAGCGAAATGGAACTTGAACCGGTTGCTTAGATATCATATTCTGAAATATTCGTTGGTAGTATAGTATAGTAATTAGGCATTCATACGGATCATTCGTTTTTGCTTGAACGAAACATTTACATTCTTGCTGTGCGCTATCAGTGGTTGGCATTATGACAGGAGGGTGTGAAGGAAAAAGATTCGTCGCCACGCTGCTTTTCATGTAGGTCGCTGAAGCAAAACTTTGGGGGTGATGTGAAATACCTCAACGATAATGATAGATTATTTTCAATTCTTACGTACACAAGATCCAATACCTACATACACCGCATCTATGTACACACACACATTCATATACCAGACTTACATACATCAACTTCACACACGTGATCTAAGCTCTTACACCGCATCTAGGCTACCTATACACGACATTCGTAAACCAAAACTACATGTACATCAATCAAATACACGTGACCTAGGCACAACTGACGTAGGTCCACTACCCCTTCCTACAACAGACCTGCGTGCTATAGATCTATGCATTTCTGCATTGGCTTCTATGCCATAACTGACAGGCTTACCTATCGAAAATAATATGAAGTGGAGGTCTCATGAGAAGTGTAGCCCGTGCCAGGCAGCTCTGAACACGCAAGCGCCCGTCAGTTCTGCCTCTCATATTAACCAAGACACTTGATTTGTTTGCTCATGACACTTGGTTGCTCATGACACTTGGTTCCTCATGACACTTGGTTGCCCATGACACTTGGTTGCTCATGACACTTGGTTGCTCATGAACTTGGTTGCCCATGACACTTGGTTGCCCATGACACTTGGTTGCCCATGACACTTGGTTGCCCATGACATTTGGTTGCCCATGACACTTGGCTGCCCATGACACTTGGTTGCCCATGACACTTGGTTGCCCATGACACTTGGCTGCCTATGACACTTGGTTGCCCATGACACTTGGTTGCCCATGACACTTGGTTGCCCATGACATTTGGTTGCCCATGACACTTGGTTGCCCATGACATTTGGTCCCATGACACTTGGTTGCCTAAGGCTATGACATCCGGCCGGCCACTACACCCATTATCCATATCACGGGTCTCTAATTACTGTGAAGAAACGTCTTAGTTCAGTAAGTAGTCTCAAGTGAATTTGCAGGCAAATCAGCTGAAAATAATTTTAAAGCCGTGAGTTATCCGATGAACAGAGATATTCGTGTGTTGTTTAGCAACAGAACGCTGCAGCTGGCGCAACAACCCGTACAAAGCAGGCCACTATAACGGGACCTTGACGTGGTACACCTTAATCACTACGTACAAATAACGACTAAGTTGTACGTAGTGGCTTCCGATCTCATTTGCTTCCCGATCTGTAGATTAGGACGCGGACTGATAGTCTTGTGAGAGTGTCCGCAAGGGGAGCGCAGCCGTGGGTAACAAAATTGACTCGTAAATAGGCCCTGGGCCCAACGCCAACCATCAGCATGCAATATCTACACATAGCCTCAGACCAATGAGCTGTGGGTAACTCCGCCTAACAGCAAATCCGCTTTGCACAACACAGCCACTGCTTCACAGCGCAGGATCCCAACTGGCCGGAGCGCAACCGGCCCTACCGCAACAAGCGGCGCAGGTTAGGTTATGTTAAGTTACGTTAGGAGTAGCTGTTGCGGTAGGGCCTGTTGCGCTCCGGCCAGTTGTGCTCCGGCCTGTATGCGCTCCGGCCTGTGACTGAACGGCGCTGTTGTGGTGGGCGCTTTGTGTCGAAAGCCGTGAAGATGCCCGGCTGCGTTACGCTCGGGAAGGTATATGAATTGCACTATGGACCTGCTGGCTATGCTGACCTCCAGCTATCCACCCGTTGCAAGGTGTAATATTAGTACGAATTGAAAATGTTCTCTCCGAGCGTTTGTCATGAGTCGAATCAACGTGATTTTATTATGATGAGTTCTTGGAAAATGAAAATTTGAATGCAATTAAGGTTAGACATTCCATGAAGAATTGTGTGTCGAAGATTATTTCATGTCTATTGTTAATTTAGAAGTTGCATCATCTAAGAAAACTATTTGGAGATAAACCTGCATAAATCTATATATAAAAATGTCTTAATCCTGAGATGCTGCAGGAGTTTCTCAGTTTAAGGGCATTGTGAAGGAATTAAAGAAACTGCACTTACATGTGGCTAAATGTCTTCTTAGACCGCCATTTTGTAAAACATTGTCAAGAATCGTTTTGTGAATTTAATAAAATAAACATAAGGTGAATGAATCAATAAACTAGGTTATTTTATTACCGTTTATTCAAAAAATGCCAAAATCAAATGAAACCGGCAGTGCAATGCAGCTAAAACAGGGACAATATTTTGGAGGTACCTAACGGAGTAAAATGACTTTTTAATTCCGCGATACGTCAAAGTTGACAACATATGAGAAAAGTGTACAATTATGGCTGTGGCCCATTAAATCACGAGATAAAAAGCGGAAAAGCTTTAAAATCTCAGATTACCTTCACTTGTTGAAGCGAACGTATATTTTCCTAACGAAATAGTCTAATGTAGAGGCATTGTGTCATGACATCAATAATTTAAAAAAAATACAAATTCTGCACGTTCCTCACTTGGTGAATAGGAAGCTGGGTTCCGGGACTTCAAACGGCACCCAATCAACAGACGGTATCAGACAAGGTTAATTAATGTCCCTTTATAAATGGGACTATTTTACTGATCTTTATTAAACGAAGTAATAAACGTAGACAAAACTTATAGAGCCCCAACACAAGACATAAAATTTTCATGCTTGTATCGACTAAAATATCTTGCGACTGTTCTACAAGAAAATAGTTCCTTCTATTCCGTTCATCATGAACTCTAATTTGAAATTTTCACAATAAGTGATATTTACTTCATTTTAAACATGAACATTGGTTAATTTTCAGCACGCCAGCCACTGAGGAAAAGTTGAAAATGGTTGAAGTCGCGTTCTAATTTGATGGTGACGAACAACCGATCAAGTTTTTTGAGCACTGCAGTTAAGCGTGTGTCGATTTGAGGAGGACGAACAAACGATACAATACTTCCAACACTCCAGTCATAAGCCGATTTATTTCACTGCATTAACTACATTGCTTTGTGAGGAACTTTGCTGCATTAAGAATTTCTTTCAAATATCTACACAAGCGGCCGCTGGAACAAGTATTGAACATCATGTGGCAACATGAATATCAACATTAATGTTGCATCATGACTATCAACATCATGGGGCATCATGAATATCAACATTAATGTGGCATCATGAATATCAACATTCATGTGGCATCATGAATATCAGCATTAATGTGGCATCATGAATATCAGCATCATGTGGCATCATGAATTTCAACATCATGTGGCATCATGGATATCAACATTATGTGGCATCATGAATATCAGCATCATGTGGCATCATGAATATCAGCATTAATGTGGCATCATGAATATCAGCATTAATGTGGCATCATGAATATCAGCATTAATGTGGCATCATGAATATCAACATTAATGTGGCATCATGATTATCAAACATCATGTGGCATCATGAATTATCAAACATCATGTGGCATCATAAATATCAACATTATAATCATGAATATCAACATTAATATTGCATCATGAATATGCATCAATGAGGCATCATGTATGTCGAACATAATAGGGCAAACAATATTAAACAATACACCAATGCTAGCTAATGTTGTACGCTTATCCCAGGCAGTCACAGAACGTGTCTGTTTCATGTCTCAGGTCCTTAACTTAGTAAAAAAAAGTTTTGACAGCTGTGAAGCACATTGAAAAGGACGGTTGCCTGCTGAGGCGAGCTTCAGTTCGCCTTGGCCGCCTGGCGTCTCAGTAAAATGTAGATCTTCTCTTTAATCCAGTCTTTGTTGTATGGCGCGTAGGTATTGGTGCTCTTCTGGTATCTGTAGGCCAGGGAAATTATAGGTACAAAGCATGAAGATAATATGCTCACAACACTCCACTAGAGCGGCCTTAACACCAGAGAAATCTTACAAAGGCAACAAGGAAAAATCATATTTCACCTAAAAAATAGAATGTATGTACCTAAAATTTTGCAAGTGTTAAAAATTGTTAAAATAACTTGTATCATAACAAAAAATTTATCGCAACATATACATAACCCAATCTATCACAAAACTACTCTCATCATATATGGCACTTATCACATAATATCTTAATGTAAGATTTATCTTAACCCAGCACTGCTAATTTTAAAGCAGTGCAAGAATTAGTAGTGTTGAGTATATAGGAACAGCTGGACCATCATAGCAGACCAAGCAGCTGGACCATCATAGCAGACCAAGCAGCTGGACCATCATAGCAGACCAGGCAGCTGGACCATAATAGCAGACCAGGCAGCTGGACCATCATATCAGACCAGGCAGCTGGACCAGGGCGCATGACTCACACCAAACAGGAGAGGTCCGCAAGCTGGTCGATGAAGTCAAAGAGCTGGGAGATGTCGTATGTGATGCTAGGCGTGTTAGGGTTCATTCTCTTCAGGTGCTCCTCATAAATCTTGCACACTCCTACTTGAAGACAAGGCAAGCAAAAATATATTATAATCAAAAGAGCAAAAATTTAGATCTAATGGGTAAAGATAAAAAAGTGAACCAATAGTCAAAAAAAAATGCTTGTAGTGAAAAGGTAGCATAAAATTAAAAGGATAATTAAAATCACAGCTCATATTAAAACTCTACCTAGTGATTTCTGCAACTCAACAATGATTTTCATCTCCAAATCTTTTGCTCACAAAAAAATGCTATCAATCAATCTGCTTTACTGATAAATATCCTTACACTTACAAGTTCACTAACACTTCCTGGGACTAAGTTAATCAATTGTAAGCTTGGGTGAATGAAACTGATGGAATACACCAACCTTCCATACACTCGTTTACACTCTCATAGTCAGAGAAGGTGCGGCTCTCAGGCTTGGGGCCAGGCTGGACCAGCAGGATGGTGTGGGCCTGATTATAAATAATACATATAATCTAAACACTGTCAAAAATATATTTTTTGGGGAGCCAGGCAGGACCAGCAGGTTGGTGTGGGCCTGATTATAAATAATAAATATAATCTAAACAGCAAATACAGCATCAAAAATATTCTTTTTATCAGTTTTACTTTTACTAAAGAAGAGATCAGGAATGCTCAGGTAGTGGACATGAATCAAACCAATTGAGATCATGGCTGCAAATGTGCTGGATGCACTGTACTTTGGCTTACTGCATACCTACACAGGTTAACAATGCCAAGATGTTTCACACCAATGCAAAGTTCCTCTGTCTTGCAATAGGTTAGTAACACCTATGAATTCATATATTATTCTTTCAAATAAACTTGAGTACAAAATTATAGAAAACAAGAAATTTTAAAATTTAAATATACAAAATTTTAAGCAGAATTTCAGATAAATCAGGTTTTCATGGTTAAAATGCACCTAGGAAGTTCACTGATGCAACAATTATAAATAAATAATCTAAAAACCTGAAATCAATCACAGAAATTAAGAGTTTTCTGTTTAGATGTCATGGCAAAATTGGAAATAACACCAATTCTTTTTTTTTAAGCCATCAAAGGGCCTAAGTGGAAACAATGGGACATCAGGAAGATTAATCTGCTTGTTAAAATTCTCGCACAAGCAATTTCAGTAAATAAATTACCACTAATTCTGCAGAATAATAAAAAAACTGAAGTATTGTTGAACTCTGCCAAGGGGAAGCAAGTCCAAAATATGTGGAAATATCTAATGAAGCAGGAAGCTAGGAGGTACCAAAGAAAATTGCATCAGCTATATACCAGACAAAAAAAGCAGTATGTAGCACAATGTGAACACAACAAGTTGCACAACTCACAGACAACACTCACTATACAGAAGACAACTTGGCCACTTCACACTAGAACTTCTACTTCATGAGTGTGATTGGGTATAAATTCCAGCTGTACAGTTACCTTGGTAATTTAAATGATAACATTCAATTTTCAAGCAAATTTTTCATAATATATGAACATAAAAAATAAATTTATCTATTTCAAATTTCTTTACAACTAAATAACTTGATTAGGTTTGCTATGACATGCTTTTTCCATATTAAATGAAGATAATAATTGGTGTGGTTCTTGCAAACATTACTGACATCTTGCCTCCAACTCTTAGTTGCATTCAGGCCTGAGTGAACATGACAGTGCATCCTTTATTTTACAGATATTATAAATCTTTTTGATTATGATATTGCAAATATTTGTTATTGTGAATTATTTCAATTGCATATATTTTCAATAGTGATATTGTTACTATTTATTATTGTGATATGTTGTAGTTCAATCATCTTGAGATAAGCAGTTCTAATGTATTTAGCAATGGTGGCCTGAGTCGAGAAACATGAAATATGAACAAAGGAGTGAAGTGTTGAAGTCATACTTGTGCCGGTAGCTGTGCCTGTGCAATCTATGAAAGTAGCTCATTGCAATTTTGTCAGTCATTGTTGGCATTTTCCAACCTATGGTAGCAAGTACAAAATTTTTCTCTTCAATTTTTTATTTTTTAATTTACTTTGTGGATTGTGATTTGTGTGCATTGTACTGTATACATGTATATTGTATTGTATTGCTCTGCAAAATACAAGAAAATTGCCACTCACTCTGATTCGCTACTTCAAAAAATTACGCTTGTAAGGTTATACTTCATTTTAAATATAAAATCTCAAAAAATAAATTAAATTTAAATTATTTCTTCGAAGTCAACTTAGAATTCCACATTGCATACCAGTAGTACCTATCATACATATGAATGATAAATAAATATAAAACCATGTCTTTCTGGTGGTTACAAAACTAAAAACAATGATATACTAAAACAAATAAAAAAAAAATTTAAAAACCATGTTTTCTTTTTTAAAAACTACATGGTTTTTAAAAATGGTTTTATATTTATTAATTTTTTTATGTTTTAGTTAGGCAATTTTAGCAATTCAAATCATTTTCCAGGGCTGGCAAGTCTGGATGTTTGAAAAAAAAAAAACTCGATTCCCAACCGTGAATTTTTAGTGTTTTTTTTATTTTTTATTAAAAAAATAATTTTTTTTAATTATTACTTCTGAAGTTCTGATGATCAAATCTTGAATTGTTATGCACTAATGGGCAGCATAAGCATGCATGCCAAATTTCAAGTTTCTAGGATCTTCAGAAGTGCTAGGCTATAAATTAAGGTTTGAATTTTTGATAACAGTCAACAGACAGACAGAGACAAAGCAAAACTAAGAAAAACATGGTAATAAGATATTGGCTTAAATTTTGGGTACAAGATAAAATTAAAAACAAATTTATTGTTAAAAAAATATGTGGTTTCACTTTGACACTATAAATTTTCATATCTTGGAGCTGAATTGAATCCTGCCCTCTTATTAAAAATCAGATAAAAGATGATTCAACGAATAAGAATAGGATATATTATTGCTCCAAAAATGTCATGAAAGGACTGGCAATAGTCAAGACTCAAGACCATCACCATGACAGCTTAGCAGAATATATTTTCCACTCTTAGGGTAAATGCAGTATATTCCGTCACATTAAGGACGCATCGAGAAATGAAAAACTATAAAAAAATAACCGTATGCGTTACCCAAGTTCTGTTTGCTTTATGTGGCTCTCAAAACACCGCACTATGCGTCAGCAACAACGAAATGTCACAAAATGTTGCCATATTTATTTAAAAGCCTTCAGAATGCAAACCTACCAAATCCCTATATTCCGTCACTGTGTGTGGCTATATTCGGCACGTGGTGAGGCATATTCCGTCCGCGCTTCAAATTCTACTGATACGTAATAAAGCGCTGACGCAATACGACTCACCACGTGTCAAATATTGCCACATAAAGTGACCGAATATAGGGATTTGGTAGGTTTCCATTCCAAAGGCTTTTTAATAAATATGGCAACATTTTGTGACGTTTCATCGTTGCTGACGCGTAGTGAAGTGTTTTGAGAGTCATGTGAAGGCAACAGATTACGTAACGCATACGTTTTTTTTTTTATAGTTTGTCATTTTTCGATGCGTCCTTAATGTGTCGGAATATACCGCGTTTACCCTACCAGCATTATTATACTTAAGAAACTGGTTTGAATCTTGAGTAAATGAAGAAATTAAAATGAACTGATTCTAAAAAAGCTCTGGTTTGTCACTATGTGCGCAAATGTATGACCACTGTGCAGAGAGTGGATGAATATTGCAAGATCTTTGGCGACACTTCAGTAGCCAAATTTTCGCCTTCAGAAGATCTTGCCGACACATTTAGTTTGAAATTCTTGCATTTAATATATTTCTCAGTCTTCGGCCAACTATTTAGAAAAAAAGTAAGGTTTCCAGTACGTTGGATGGATTGCGATGCAGCGAAGCTTGTCCGGAAATCAGTTGCGATGAGTTCCCGCAAAGAATGTAAATGTTTTTTTGATTGCGTAGTTTCGGTCACATTAGAGTGGTCAGACTGCTTTATTACATGTTCAGTTGACACTTGCTGTACAATCGGACTGTTTTTAGGGTAAAATTAGTTATTTGGGGTAACACATGCATGCAACCTTGTATATAAGTTCGTGGCTTGTAAATAGTTTGTCATTACTCAGCATAAATGGCTTTTCATTAAAAATTACCCGGCGACGCATCTTTAAAATGGCCGGCGACGCTTTGGGCTTAAAAATCCATATATTGGCGACGCTGCATCCACCCTCTGCATAGTGGATGTATGACGTCACCAATCACCATTTCCATTCAACCATCAACGAACGCATGGAACTAAAACAAAGCTTAATATAAAGGAAAAACTAGAGAGGTGATGGAATTACCCACGATGTCGGAATATACCGCATTTATCCTATTTAATTTTACAATATCAAGAACAGGATAAAATGTACATGTTTTTATTCCAATATAATGCTCTAGGCTAAGGGACTCAGCCTCTCACAGCTTGTAGCATCTAGCTAGGCCTAGCTGCGAGGCAAAACTGTCTCAAATGGGTTAGGTAATCCCGTTAATGAGACTATTGAGACATTTCATTGCAGCAATACTAATAGAACACAAATTCAACACATAGATGACATGACAGGACTCAAGACTTCAAGTTATTTCAAACATAGAGGCACATGCAAGGAAAAGAATGTCATTGAAATGCATCACTTTTGCTTTCCACAGTTTCCAGTTTCCTAGCTATCACCAAGACTGTGTTTCCTAGCTATCACCAAGACTGTCCAAGAGTCGTATTCCTAAAAACATTCATGTAGCCTACTGTAGTGTAAGAACTGTACTATGCACAACTTCATAAGAATCAAAAGAACGTCACAGGATGAACAAAAATTTACTAGAAGTGGACGCTAAGCCATTTAATAAAATATCACAGAATATCTCGCTTACCATTTTATTTATTATGTAACCAAAATGCAAATTGCAATGCACAGCCTCTTGTCTGAAAACGCCTGCAAAACTGGATCAAATATAACTTTATAGTTTCAAACACAATGCAACGGACAACGGCATCTGCATGTGTTGAAATTCCTGTGAGGCGAAGATTCGTGATTACAAGGGAAACAACACAATAAAAAAAAATATATGAACATTGCGTTCAGATAGTTATCTTGGGAGATACTTTTTTTTAAAACTTCCCAAATTACTTTGATTCTATCATTAGGACAGATTTTCAACTATTTTAAGAATATCAGATTCTGGTATACAGGATAAAAGATTATATAATACAATTTATAACATGATAAAGTACGCCAATTTAAATAAAAGCAGATAACAAAAATTTTGACAATGCTCGCACGGGCGTAATGTATATAAATATTTTTGTTTTCAATTACCTACGTCAAGATCGGTTTCAATTTAACAAACATATGCTTACTTATTTAACAAACTTATTCAATTTTAGGGTCGCCTGCCGAAGACCACCACTGCCCTGGATGTTATGGACCATCATGATTCCTGCCTTCCGGAACGTAGCCTTCAACACTTCAAGACGTCCGTATCTAGGCCGTGCGTCGAACCAGCCCTCGGTCGAACGGCCACTGGTCGAAGGACGATAAATTTTGGAACAGAACTATGCTATCTGAAACCTAACCTCAGATGATGTGAACGTAAAATTACGTAATTTAACGATGCCCGGAAGTCATATTCGATCCGCGGCCTGGTGGTTCACGGCAGGTTCTATGAAAGGCCGGAGGAAGACAAAGCCGAGTGGTTCACGGCTTATTGGTGGATGTCCGGAGAGATCCAAGGCGTTCGATTCAGGGCTTATTGGTGCACAAAATTGGTGGTGCGCGGCTGCGCTTCCCAATTTTAAACGCGCTATGTTAATTTGTTCTAAATGAGACCGAGGGGGTAAATATGCACAGTCTGTTCTTGAATGAGGAAATATGTTCCTAGCATGGTTCAATCATGGTTGACTTCCTGGACAAAACGTATCGGACGACTTTAACGTCTCGGACAAAAACCGTATAGCAGAGCAGGTTTACGGTGATCCGGCGGGACGCCTGTCGGAGACCACCTCTGCCGTGCTTCGAATGGACTATCATGATACCTTCCCTGAAGAACGTAGCCTACAACACACCTTGACTGTAACGTTATCAGCCGCACGCCACCAGACAGATCACATCCATTGAATTAGATCAATCAGCCCACAGGAAAATAAACCTGGCGTCGTATGGCCCAGCGTCGTCTGCCATCAAGCAAAAAAATTTTACACCACCCAGACGGAGCGAGCCGGAGCCGTCCGTATCTGTCCCGTGTGTCGAACCAGCCCACGGTCGAACGGCCACGCGTCGTACGACGATAAATTTTGGAACAGAACTATGCTATCTGAAACCTAACCCCAGATGCTGTGAGCTAAGAGTTGCGTAATTTAGCGAAGCTGCAAAAGTCACTCGCCGGCGGACGATAGAGTTTGAAACAGAACTATGCTTTCTGAAACCTAACCCCGGATGTTGAGCTAAAAGTGACGGTCTGGTGGTGCACGGCAGGATGCATGCAGTTCCACTGGCGACCTGAGCTGGTTGGTCACAGTCCGTTGTCCGCAAGTTACAGTTCGAGCTAAAGTCAGGGTATGAAGTGATGATTCGATGCAACGTTCAGTGGTGCATAACCATTACTCTCTGGGCTATTCGCTACAGAATGTGGTGGCGTAAAGCTCCTAATATTTAAAGCAAGATGATGTCACGGGCTGGTTACCGACGGATGGCTTAATCCGCGGCTGATTGGTGGTCATCCGGAAATATGCTAGGCGTTCCTTTCAAGGCTGATTGGTGCAAAAATTTGGTGGTGTACGGCTGCGTACCCGATCAACGGAATGAATGGAGGATTATCAACCTCACCTTCTTAGCTTCAACTTAAGTTTTGGAGGGTACGCAGCGGGAGCGCAGCCCTACACCACAAATTTAGCTCGTAAACAAGCCCTGGCGCCATCGCCTACCCTATAATGCAATAACTAAACTCAGCTCACACCCAAGAAGCTGTAGGTAACTGAGTCATCTCCCCACACCAACTTTAAGCAACACCTACCTCACTCCACAGCCTGCTGAATCAAATAGTCAATTGTCAACAGGTCCTACTCCACAGAATTTTACGCCATACTATCACTTCTTACACACGTCGTAAGCCTCACTGGTCGCAGGCCACGCCGGAGGATCGGGTACGCAGCCGTACACCACCAAATTTTTGCACCAATCAGCCTTGAAAGGAACGCCTAGCATATTTCCGGATGACCACCAATCGTACGTCTTTGCGATTTATGGTAGTTTTCAGCTAAAATTAATTCGAATTTGTATTACAACGGCCACATATGCCATAAAAGTTGGCGGATGAACAATATGAAAATTTTCTATGCTTCAGTTTTTTTTTGGCCACAAATTACACGTTCAATTGCCAAAATTTTCCTAGCGTTCGTTTCTATTATTCTTGCTATAAAAATCGTCATCCCCCGAAGCTTTGAGATAAGCTTTTCCAAAGTTAGATAAACAATCGAGTACCCAACAATAACAAGATTAAACCATTTATATGGATTCATGAATCATAGTTCAACTTGATAGTTGCAACATTCGTCGTTGTCATTGTCAGAATACAAAACATTGTCCAAATAAAGCCCGGCCAAATGAAAAAAATTGGGAAAAGTATAGTGTCCATTCTAGACGCATAAACCACAACAAAAGGAGTGCATGAGTTATGCCAGCTTTGTCCAACTTCACACTTTAGTTCATATTATTTTCCAAGGGTAAGAACGCTTGAGTACCTACATAGTAGCCTTTAAATTCAACTGCTTAAAGCATTAGTGCCGGATGTCCGCAGCCACCGCTCAAGCTTACCAAGTCGAGCAAGGTAATAAATACTGCATCTAGCCTGATTCTGGCCTAACCTCTTCTGGATTAACCTATTCACATGGCAACATTTCACTTTCCAAAACAAACGCGAGTGGACCTAACCTAACCTCAATGGCTGGAGGAATTTAGAGAAGCGGGCCGTGACAGCGTGATTATTAGTTAGGCCGAATGTAGAAATACCTTCTTATTCGCGAGCATTCTTGGGCATTGGCAGAAGACCTACAATGCAATCCTCACCCAGTATTTAACTGGTCTCCGCTCTTAGGCTTAGGTGGGCTGGTCTTAGCTCTGAGGCTAAGTGTAGTTATTGCACGCTGAGCTTGGGCGTTTACTCCAGGGCTAATTCAAGAGTTGAATTTGTGGCCCAGGGGTGGACAGCAAGAAAACTATTTATTTCGTAGATGCAGAATAACTTCCATAGCTGCATTTCGAAAACCAAAGCTGACTCTTTAGAAGACACCGCTAAATTTGTTGAGACGAGGCTCAGTATGTCCATGCCAAGGATGAATACAACACGGTTGAAATATTCTCATTTATTGAGTAAAAAAATATTCTTTCAACTACGTAAGCATGGTAACACGAATTCGTAACCAGAAAAGCCATTGACATCTTGAGTTCTACAACAGAACTCTTAACACACGTCAGCGCTGGATGGGGTTAACAAAATTTAAAAGAAAATGAAATATTTTACGTTTCCTTTCTGCTGAAAATGGAAGTAGCGACGGTATGGACGCAAGCAGGAACTATGTTCAATGTATTAGAGCGTAAGTGCAAAATAATATCCGAATTCCTGCTTCACACAGGAAAAATGCGATTTTAGCCCTTTACTACACACATTGTGATTTGTTGATTGAAATACTTCAATAGAGTAAGAGCAATACTGGACCATATTAATAAACAGGAGTAAACTTCAGTAGCAGTTCAGCGAGTACAATTTCCAAACAGTAGGCAAGTTTACTGGCCATTTTGATAAAAAGTTAAATCGTCTCCTGTTTAAATTGAATTGCAGCTAAAGTGACAAGTTTCAGTTATTCCAACAACCTAAGAGAAACTTGTATCGGGCTATGTGACGAAACAGACATCATTACGAAAATCAACGTCAAATCCGTAAACTAGCC